CTTCACTTGAATGTGTCTGTTTTAAGACTAAAAGTGACCTAAATCACCATCTTCCATGACTTAACTTTTCACAGAACTGAGAGGTTCAAGAAAGAACACTTAAAAGGTATAAAGTAGCCTCAGGGAAAGCACTGCATTTTGATTTGTGCCTGCATCTCTTTCTCAAAATTTCTTTTTGGGAAAACTACAATTTAAAAAGTAAGAATAAGCTGTGTGAACAAATTTTGCCCATTGCTTTTCTCCTTTATTGTTGTAAGGGTGTGAACCTAAATAATTTGCCCTCATTTCAAAAATTGTGTTGGACTGTCCAAGAGAACCTAGAGCAATCATTATTATAAATCTCTAGATGAGTCAGAAATACATTCTGTAATAGAATGAAAAACAAAGGTAAATTACAGAAGTAGCCATAATAAAAATCTTAAATTTCTGTTTTTTGTGTCAAATACCATGAATCACGGTGTTTGGGACATGCAAAGGCTGTGTGGTAGAGCACTAAACGAGGGCACACGCAGTGAACCAAGCATCCCGCTGTCTGCTGTGAGCCCGCGCAGGGTTACGTGTGCTACACGTGTGGGTTTCTTTCTTGCGCTGCAGGAGCTAACCTGTGATGCAGCCCCACTGTTGGACTTGGCCCGGGTTCAACCCGGGCAAAGCGATGCAGACCCTGGGCTACGCTGGGGCTGAGCACCCTCGCTTAAACTGAGTATAGGCGCCGGTTTTTACTCCTGTGGAAATCCTTAGGATAGCTGTGCCCCTAAAGCTCAGCGTTTACTCTGTTAACGTGCATTTGGTTGTGTCAGTACTAATTTCATGGTTGATTTACATTTCAGTTGTAAAAAGAAACTATTTGGATTTTTTCTTAAGCATTAAATAACTGGAACTTAAATCTTGGCAGCATAACTGATTAACCTTGTAATAGCATCTTTGAGATATTAATGTACGTACTACCTTATCTCGTGCTTTATCTGACCTTTATCTGTGAATTTTAATATCCTTTGTGGTTACTAGTGACGTGCTTCTGTTGTAGACAGCAAGGGATTTGGGCTCCTGCTTATATCTCTGTTTTATCCCCTTTCAGTCTGTTCTGTCCTGTCAGAGAAATGACTGCATCAAGCCCCAGCACACAAGATGATAATCCGTGGCCCAGGAGCAGGTTAGGAAATGTGCCCGCACGAGGTGGTAGCTCCGTGAGCAAGTCACGGTTCCATGTGCACTGTTACTGTTCTCATGCTGCAGACAGCTAAAAAGGCTGACAAGTGAATTGCTCACCCTGAACACATGCAGAAAAATATATATATATATATAAAATATATATATGTTCCCTTCGTCACAGGTGCTTGCACTTTGTCTGCACAGAGCTCTGGTGATTAGTAGTGTTAGTGTGGCAGTGTTATTAGCTGCCACAGCTTGGAGAAATGCAGATGCATGCAGAATCTTCAGTGGGACACTGTGCTGGATTTCTGTCCAAAAGACAGTGTTTCTGTCTATGTTTACCTCTGATTTGGCTTTCAGGGGTGGGAAATAACCTGTCTGCTTTCTCTGCGAATGGTTTAGTTGGATATTCACGTGATTCTACTACAGTCTGCTCATAATTTAAGTAAAAAGTAAGTTCTGTTTTTTTAGGCAGGAGTCAAAGCTGAAGGGAAGATCTGCATCTTGGGCAGGAGGTGTGTTAATTACAAGAGGCAAGGAGCAGTTCAGTTAAGGTTCATCGTGGTTTTTCACAACCCAGCCAAGCCTCATGTGTCGTGATGATAGGGCTCGCGATGCTGACACTGCGAGACGCTCTGCAGAACTGATTTTTTTCCTGCATTACCACAGGAATTGCTGGCTTCCAGATTGCCACTGCACTGCCTCTGCCTGTCTGCCGTGGTAATCCGTGTTTAACCTGCACATCTATAGGTGCTTTACGTATGGGCTCCTCGTCCTGTAGGCAGTGGAGAGGGTGAAAGCGGCACTTCTGGAGTGTGACTCGTTTGCTGCAGTCTGGTTGTTGCTGGTCATCAACTCCAGCTTGACTATAGGTAACTGTTCATAAAGTTGGGAAGATCCGGCCCAGTCTTCAATGCCCAGTAAACCTGCCAAGATTTGAGCAGCTCAGTCTCTAATATTTTCCTGCCAACTGTGCTACTCTGTCAGTTTATGCGCCCTAGTGTATTTTAAAGGTTTAATTTCATGGGTGAACTGTGGCTGAAGTGATCAGTGAAGTGAAACATTCTTACTTTATACCCAAACACTTGCAGTGTTTGCAGTGAAGTGAAACACTTTATACCCAAACACTTGCAGTGTTTTACTTAAATACACTGGTAAATTACTACTTGTGTAAGCAACCATCATCTTTATTGATTCAAATGGTTCACCTGAGCCAGGCTGCAAATTCTGCATTTGGAAATACTGATGCTTTGTTCATATTGCCTCCTCCTCTCCAAAAGGACCCAGATAAAAGGTTTTGCAGGTGCCGAGATGGAAGGACTAACTGTAATCCTGAAGTCTGGTTGACCAGGTGTCATCTTGTCTTGCTGGCTTGTGTCACGCTGCTGTGGGATGCGAAGGGGAGGCCTGGGATCCCGTTGGGAAGTTCTCCTTAGCAGCCAACCTGAAGTCACGCTGCAGAATAGCCTTGTAATGTGAGCATTCTCTATTTGGATGCAGTGGGTATAATTTGCTCCCTTGAAGAACAGTATGCATGTTTCGTCCTGCTCTGAGCACTGCTCATAGCAGTTGCAATTTGTAAGAATTTGCTTTCTTTCTGAAGTTTGGTTTTGCTGACAAATTAAATTCAAAATTAAAACAAGAAACTGAGCTTACACTTGTTGGCTGCCAGGATCCTTTCCCCCAAAAAACGCCTAACCTAAATGCAAAGTTCTCACCAAGGACTCATATCCTCTTCTTTTATAGGAGCTGTTTTAATGAGCCACCTGAAGGCAGAGAGTAAGGAAAATTACTTCCTTTTTCCCCATTAGGATTATCACTTAGGGCGACTGTTTTCAAACAAACATTACAAGTCTCTTGCTTCGCTTGCAGTCTGCAAGGAGGGTGTGTGCAGGAGCTGCTTTTTCTTCTGTGTATAACCTATATCCAGTTTTTATGAAAAGCATAGAAATACTTCCATCATTCTAAACTAATACATATGTATATGACAGTAGACAGAATTGCTTTAATCAAACAATGTGAGCCCTGTAGCAACTTAAATTTGGCAGCAAGACTCACTGGAGGTAAAATTAATGGAATTAATTTCCAAGGTAAATAAATAGGTGAAGCTAAGCAACACAGCAAGAGGATTTGTTAATTTACTTGTAAATTATGCACATCTAAATAGTAATAAATATTTCAAAAAATATTTGAAAACTGCATTGGCATTTTTCTCTGAATTTTCTTTTATTTTGTAAAATATTCCCTGAAATATTTTTGTACGGAGCATGAGATCTTGTTGCTAAGCACACTTGCAGCCCTTGTCCTGCACGCGGCCACATCTCTGTGCAACCTGCAGGAATAGGTTTTCCTATGGGATATGGCTGAACTGTGCCTTCTGATTGAGGAACTGCAAAGGGCTCATGGGTCTCAGCATGCAGAAACCCCTGATCATATCATCCTACGACTGCTGCGTGTTCTGGTTTTTCCTGGAAGCAACATTTTTTTCCTTCTCTTAAAAAAGAAGAATTTGGAGTTTTTGGCATTTGGAGGGATCCTAGTGGAACTATGTAATTCTCAAGCACAGCATCTGTTTTTGTGGCCTGTTCAGCTGTTGCTTAATCCTAACTCTGCCTTTGAGGTCCTGTGCGACGGGATGGTGCTCGTTGGTGTTGGGCTACGGGGAAGGCAGAACTTCTCACAAATATTATTCTGTGAAGAGAAAAACAAAAGACAAAAATGAAGGTAGCATCCCATAAGAGGTCTGCCTTCAGTCTGCTCTTCTGGGGAGTTGTGCAGTTTCGTCTTCCCCTGCTGCATTGCCTGTAGGCAGAGGCTGTCGCGCTGGGGTAGACACGCAGTGACCCTGTCAGAGAGCAGGGCCCACTCGACACAGTCCAGGTCTGGGGGACACGGAGGACACGATGGCGAGGGACACGGTGTGTCAAAAACGCTACCAGCCCTCCATGCTCTTGCATAACTCACTAATTTTCAATATTTCTAGTCTAACATAGTCTGATTGCTCGTTTGTTTGTTTTTTAAGTCTATGTCTAGTTTTCAATATTTCTAATCTAACATAGTCTGTTTGATTGCTTGTTTGTTTGTTTTTTAAGTCTATGTCTATCCAAAAAGTTGCAGGTATTTTCTTTACCTTTCCTGTGGATCAGGAATCCATTGCAATGAGCACCATTGCAATATTATTAAAATGCAGTTGTGATCTCTGTATGAGGTTGCATTGTCTAAATGGCAATAAACTAACCTTGCACATATTTCATAATTCATTCTGGGACTGTTACAACTGTCTTTCTTTGAAAAAAAAAGCCTCGGAAGTGTCCATACGGAGGCCTGCAGAACTGCTACAGATGTTCAGTCTGAGTCCTCGGGCCAGGTACCCCTCTCTGAAGGTGTGGGAGAGAAACCAGACAACTTCGTGCTCTCCTTATGAGAAATGGTCAGACACTCCAGACACCCTTGAAAGGCCGCGTGCTTTCTCAAACGTACTCTGGCAGGCAGAATTTATATTTTGTTTTGTTTTCACTAGAGTCTTTTTTCAAATTCAGTTTTGATTTTCTAGCCTTTACAGACTAGATTTACATACGAATAGTGGTCCCAGAACAAATTTAGAGTAAAATCGAGTGAAAGCTGTTTGTATCCCAGGACTTTCATATATTCTGTGTCAAATTTATGAAGTGCTGGATGTATGTAGTCATGTACATATCTATACAGACATATGTGATCAGCTGTGCTCACGGTCTGCGGCAGCCTGTGGTGTTACAGTCAGTACCGGCACGGAGAGAGGAGCTTGGGAAGTATGAAAGATGCTCACAGTGCTCCACGGCTCCCCGTCTGCAGGGCTGTGCCCGTATGGCATGGAGGAAAACGTGGCTGCGCTGAGCGGAGCAGCCCTATCGCAGCAGATCAAAGTTCTGTCTCGCTTTGGATCCTATCTCCAAGAGCGCACGTCAGGAGGAGAGTAAAAGAACTGGGCAAACACACGCTGATTCTTTCCCGGATTAACCGGCCAGCCTTCAGCAAACGTTAGTTCAAGGACTTCCGAGGCCAGAGGTGCTCTTTCTGCACTTGACAACACTTGTCTTTTTAATGTGCTTGGGCTCATTTTTGTGGGAAGAATAAAGTAAGTTAAAATCAGATTGAAGTAAGTGCTGCCACAGTTACATCAGGTGTGTAAGGGGATCCCCTAATACTGGTTGTTTCGCTATAACTGCTTGGCCAAACAGAGCACTAAAGCGATGCCTAGGGAAGCTTCATTACATGATTCCCAGCCCCTGGGAATGGCACCCTGGACATCTTATTCAACTGGGCACATTTGCATGCAGGATATCAGCCTAAGACTCCTCTTTGAAAAATATTTTCAAATAGATGTGTAGTTTCAGGTGTTTCTTTTTTTTTAATGGTGAAGAGGAAAATATGGAGCAAAAGCTTTTTTTTTTTAGTGGTGAAGAGGAAAATATGGAGCAAAAGCAACTTTGGATTAAAAACAAGTGTATAAATACCCTAAGTACATTTGCTTGCCGAATTTAACCCAAGAGTATGGCTTTTTTTTGGGGGGGGAGTGGTGCTGTCCAGTGTTGGGGTTCAGCAAGAGATTCCTTTTTCTTTGGGTCCATCCTTAGTGCAAAGTATATGTGAATACTGAAATCTTCTGTCCTTCAACCTGCCTTAAAATTATTTTCAAGGAGCTGTATTCGTAAGACTGTGCAATGCAGAGAATTGTGGTAGATAAACTTGGAAGGTTTAGGGGCTTTTGGTTTCTCTGTTTTGTACAATGATGTTTTTGATGGTAGACCCTGAAGCATTTTAAAGGAATAGCTCAGCTGTGTGTAAGTTTTAAAAAAATAAAATAAAAAGGAGTCAGACTTTCCTGCTTCCTTCTGTATGTGCGTAATTTGCTTCTATGTGAAGTAGAAAAGCTTCCTTCTGGATACAAGTATTCTTTGAAAAGTAAACCTAGACTTTACTGAAGCTGTTTAGTCTCTAGTGGCTCGTGGGACCACAAAAGCAGCGATTCGCACAGGATCCCAGAATGGTTGAGGTTGGCAGGGACCTCTAGGGATCCCCCAGTCCAAGCCCTGCTCCAGCAGGGACACCCAGAGCAGGGGCACAGGGTTTCAGGGGCTCGAAGGGGAGTCCGAGGCCCAGAGCTCTGCGTTGTTGGGTCTGCTCTGCCCCGTTACCAGCACTCTTGCATGAATTCAGAAAATGTGTGACACAACAGGAAAATTCACTCTGCCATGATCTAGTAGCTAACAGGCATTGCAAGTGTTCAGTGAAATCAATCAAAATGACCTGGTGACCACCAATATACACTTTCAATATTAAATTTAGAGTTGCTGTTTTGTTCTGTACAATTATATTTTAAACTAATGTGGGAATATTAATATTGCTGTTGATTAAAATGGAGGCAGGGTTAATGAGTGTAATATCTAGCTTACTTCTCAGAGTGATTTTTTTTGTTTCAGCTGTGAAAAAGCAATGCCACAAATTCCATCTATTATGATTTAATGGAAAAGATATGCACTATTACACAGAAGTAGATGAAGTTCTGAAAAGAATTCTTGAGAGTGATAACCTTTAAAGTACATATACTGGTGGCTGTTTTCCACCCTAAAAAGAAGAAAGGTATTTTGTTTATCTGGAACAACAGTGTTTCTGTGGCAGGCTTAGTCTCTTGACTTCCCATATATGGCAAATTGTATTGAGTCTGTGTCTACTCCAAGATATTTCTGTAAAAAAACAACAAAAAAAAGGTCCTGCTCTTGCCACTATCATTTTTGTGTTTACATTGATGACTGCAGTGGGCGGATTGCAGCAGTCTGGATTCCAGTTTGGCCCTGCTGTTCTGACTGTGCTGGAACAGATTGCTGTGGTTCTGGGGTTGTGCGGCTGCCTTATCTGCACTGCCTGTACCTTTGTTGTACGTTTTTGATGGTAGCGCCAAATGCGGTGGGAAAAACGGCCAGTTCTCCTTTAGAAGGAGACTGTAGAGGGCTGATCTCCATTGTACCCTCAAAGCAAGTTGCTTTTCTCACTCAGGCCTATACACAAGATGAGTGCAATGAAAATACCTTGATTTATGACCATCAGTATGTTTTAATTGTGCTATGTAATAGAAGAGTAAGTTGGAAAGGTTGCATCCTATGCATATTCTGTGTGTTTTCTCTTATGAAAGCTACCATACTATCAAGGGCAAAGAACATGCTTTACGTGTCAGTGTTTGGAATGCAACAGTAGCAAACTGAACATCTTTCTAAAACATTACTTGCAGACATGGTTGTGTTTTCGTCATTTTTCTATGACTTTTTGTGGTAGAATTTAGAAGTATTTTCTTGCCTGCTAGATCAGTCTCAAAACATGCTACTTTCATGTGTTGGTTTTGCACAGGACAAGCGTACGTGTGAGCCAGGGGAGTTCTCATGTTTTCAGAGTTGCCTTGGGTTTGGGCAGGGGGTGTAGCAGGAGGTAGTCTGCACACCAGCATCTTCTGCTACTTTGTAAAAACTGCAAATTCTACCAAGTAACATTTGCCAACCTCAAATCTAACCCGATCCTTCCTGTTTGAGAGCAGAAACGGCCCACGAATCTCTTTGCCGGCTCCTGCCCCCGCTTTGGCGGCGCCGAGCTCGGAGCGGGCTCAGCCCGTGGCAGAGGCTCCCGGAGCCGCTGCCCTCACCCCGGCGCTCGGAGCGGCGCGGAGCGGGAGCCGGGAAGAGCAGCAGCAAACGTTGCTGGTGCCTTCTGACACCCATGGCCTGTTTGCGTGCTAAAAGCGGGCTCTTGCCTCCCAAAGAAACCGGTCTGGACCAGGGCAATGAAGAAGCAATCAGATCAGCGGCTGCGCTCGATACTTCTTTTTGTTTCATCAGTGGGGAGACATAGGGCAAGTGGAGTTTGAGGGACAGATCCTGAACCAAGTGCTCTTTGTGGAGGTGTGTGATTTGTCTGGGCAAGAAATAGAATCATAGAATCACAGAATGCTTCAGGTTGGAAGGGACCTCTAGAGATCATCTAGTCCAACCCCCTGCACACGCAGGGTCACCTAGAGCACGTGGCACAGGACTGTGTCCAAGCGGGTTTGAAGATCTCCAGAGAAGGAGACTCCACAACCTCTCTGGGCAGCCTGTTCCAGTGCTCTGGCACCCTCACTGTTAAAAATTTTTTCCTTAAGTTCCTGTGGAACTTTTGGTGTTTCACTCAGTAGTTTCACTCAGTAGGGCCAGAAGTTTGTCTTGCTCTATGTCATGCCCAAAACCCAAAGCAAGATGCACAGAGCAGAGTACCAGAAGAGCGCAAGACTAGAAGAACAAGTCTGATGTCTTTTTTTTTTTTCAAGATAATTAGATTTAATAATCTAAGACATAAAGACAATTGAGCATATGCATATGTTGTCCCTTTGCATACTGTATTTTGTTGTGGGAAGAACATTTGTTCTTGCTACTGTGTATGTGAAGACTTTTGTGAATGTGCAGATATCAGCATGGCCTGCAGAAATACCCCTGTCATCATCATCTTCCCTAGAGCACCCTAGAACTGGGGCCTGAGGGAGCATCCGGTCTCTCCTGCAAGGATTTCCTCTTGTATGTAAATGCTAAGTGCACATATGAAACGGTGGTTACTATTTGGGAATGAGTTTTTAGAGTTCTGATAGTTTAATTAATATGTCAGCTTATTTTTCACCAAGTTATCAGAAAATAAGAAAAAAATATATCGAGTGTCAGGGCTTATTAGTAAGGGAGCCAAAAAACATAATTACGTCACTATAGAAATTCAAGGTTGCAGCTTTAGTCCCCCAACTCAAAAACACAGAGCAGAAGTGGAAAAATACCAGGGAAGTGTGTCAAGGAGAGGTGTGGAACAGCTTCCCCATGAGAAATGACTAAGGTGAGCAGGGCTCTTCACCTTGAAAAAGAAGTGGCTGGGCCGGGGTGCAGCAGGAGGTGCACACAGAGGGGGAGGGCTTGCTCCTTCCACAGCAAGAAGTGGGGGGCAGCCATGTAACCACCGGGTGACAGATTCAAAACAAGCACGAGGAAGTGGCTTCTCACATGTGCGCGATTAGGCTGTAGAGCATTAGACTGTGGATGCTGTGGGATGTCACAGATGCCAGACCTTTACAAGGGCTCAAAAAACAGACCCATGAGTTCACAGAAGAAAAATCTAGCAAGAACTATTAACTACAAAGAGACTCTTTCTGCCTCAGCAAGTCCCTAAACTGAAAGTTATTAGAAGTTATTACAGGATAATATTCTTGGGAAGATTCCCTGCATGCTTGCTTATGTTTTTGTGGTCGTCCTGAATTAGCCGCTGCAAGTTTGCAGCTATAAAGTGGACTACAGGGTAGATGGGCCTTTGACCTGACACCAGCAGGCCATTTCTGTGCTGTCTCTAGCATTCACTGTGGATTTAAATATGATGTAACTTTTGCAGTCTGCTCGTTTCCTCCCCTTGCCTCGGAGAGCCCCTCCTGCACGTCCCTGAGCCGCCGCTCGGTCCCTACGTGCAGTTCAGCACTGGGAGCTCGCAGAGCCAGGCGGCTGAGTAATGAGCTCGTGGCTGGGCAGACACCGTGTTATATAGGGTGAACACGCAGACGGGAATTCTTTCATAACATCTCGATCACGAAAAGATAATCTTGATATTTATATCTCCTTACTTACTTGTAACACTCTCATATCGTGTGTGTGTTGTTTTGGATTTTTACAAAACAGCTTCCTAGTTTAATAGTGTATTGCGCGCAGCTTTTTTGCACATATTTTTAATAGAACTTTAAATCTTAAAAAACTTCCTTTGCACCTGACATGCAGTAGATATTAAAGTCATGTCAGCGTCACAGTTGGAGTAGATTTTCAGTAAATTGTCTGAAATGTGTTAGCCTAGTGAGCGCAAGAGGTTTTCATGGCAGCTCGTATGCAAGGGCAGGCTGAGAGAGGGTTTTATGTTTGCTGGTGCTGAAGG